CCATTTTGTGGCCGATGTTTGTCCAAAAAGGGTTCGTCCCAACTTCGGAGTCGTCTTTGAAATCTAATGAGAAAAATGGTTGAACTTTGACGAAATCCACGGCTGAGGTTTTACTGGGGGATCAAGGACCGACGAAGATGAGTTTACATGCGCCGTCCCACAGTTCCCAAAGTGGTCTCCACAGAACGGTGTCCAACGTTTTGGAGAGTTGTCCAGTTCTCTTATGGGCTACCACATTGTTCAAGATTCCAGAGTGGAAAGGCCAAGGCGATGATGTAGAGCAGCTAGCAAAGGGGACGGAGCTCTACCATGATTGGACAATTGAAATTGACTGGTGCTATCTTGTATGAACACGTTCACCTACCATGAATTGAAGGTCCTTCTATCAGCAGCACCCGCCCAGTATCAACTGGTTCATCTCGAACAGGCTTTGGATGAAGTCGGGGGATGATGACCTGGAAATCGATCAGACGATGGTTGGTTTCGGAGGACACAGAATCAATCATTATTTATTATTGATCATTGATGCCAAGGGTTTGGTGTGCTCGAAGTGGTCCAGAAGCTTGTCCATCCACAGGGAACGAACCAGCGCATGCGTGTGCTTCCAGTTTGCTCGCTCATGACGAGCTAGTTTCTTCAGGCTATCATGGCTCGAGCCATGATGATCTTCAGGTTCATTCTTCATCCATGATTTTCCTCCTCCTCATCATACCTCATCATCATCATCGTCGTCCCGTCAACATCCTCCATTGCCTCGACGCGACGTCCGCACGTGGCACGTCCTCGGCTCGCACGGTGGAGGACGTCCAGTTCGAGAGACGCCCGGGCTGGACCCGGAAGATGCTCCAGCGCGTGGCCAAGAGCTTCCAGGCGTCGGGCGCAGTGCGGGAAAGAGGGGGTCGGAGAGGGTTGTGGAAGAGATGAACCAAACCAAGGTGACCAGTTATGTCAGAAACATCCTTTAAAACGATTGTTATACTGATTCTGATGTGAACTACATGGTTTGTTTGGCTTAAATCATTATTCCTACTATAGGGACCCCCCAACGCCTGCCCCAGCACCAAGTGGTGAAGCTGCTTAGCATCGAAAACAGCGACACTCGCAGAGCCGGCGACACTCGCTGAGTCGTCGCCACGCAGCGGAGGTTCCAAGCTTTATGGATCCCACTTGCCACTTGGCTGACAGATCGATCCGGTGCTTCGTGGATTTCGTGGCCTGGTGCTTCGTGGGCGAAGCTGGGAAGTCCACTGTTGAAGAATTCGCCGGGAACTCTAGATGAAGCTTTGGGTCAAGCCAGTCTACAGTCTACCTCGTGCCTCCCTCCGCAGTTGCCAACGGCACGCTTTTTCTCACCAGACCTGGCCTCCGAGAGGACTCCGAACCGATGGTGTGCCAGTTGGTTTCGCCAAGATTGGTTCGGAAGGTGTGAGTGACCGGCTCTCCTCCGCCCAAGCAAAGGAGGTGTTTTTTGTGTGTTTTTCACTTCACATAGGGTGCTCCAAACTGATGGTGCAGGATGTGTGAATCTCTAAGTTAGGCTGGTATACATGATCGCCATGATCAACACAAAGTAATTGGACTACTATTTATTAGCTTATTCTGAAATGTGTGAAAGTTGTTCAACGAGGTCAAGTTAAGAGGATTGAATAGGTTACACGAGACAATTACTCTTCCGATGGCTTCAAAAGTGTGGATATTATCAAGTCGGATGTCCCCACACACCATTTGCCGCATGACCGAATTTCCCTATAACCTTTGAGGGAGCGTATCTGAAAGGACAGTCGTTGAACGACTGGGCAGTTCCTCCAACCGTGAGGCCAGGATGATTTCGCCTCCACTCCAGAGTTCTGGCCACTTGAAGCGAGAAGATGGAGGAACGACTGTCGTTCCGGCCATATAGTTTCGTGGATGGACCCATGGATTTCTTGATAAAGTTTGAGGAGGAAATCCACCAACTGTAGCCCAGTCTGTAGCCCAATGTTGTGGCCAACCACGTGCTTCGTTGGTTTCTGGGGAGCCATCAGCTATGCCTCTTTCAAACATTGACTCACTTCATCTCTTGTCGAAGACCGTCGCTTCCGCCGACGACCGGACTGAAGTCCCGTCGGGCGTCGAGGCTGTTCGTCGGACGTGGTGAAGCGGCAGCGCTCTGAGGTTCGGTTCGGGCAGCGCTGGCGCCAAAGCGCACATGGACACTTGGTTGATCTGGATCAGGTGTCGCGTGAAACCTGTCACACCGAAATCAAATTACGTTTTACCGGCAAGGATTCAGAAGAAAAGAAAGTGGGGGGCTGTAGGCGAACTTGACCTCTAAAGAAACACGGAATTTCATGCATTGACAAAGTGATATGCAGTGACTCGTTCAGTTCGGAGATTTCGTACCATCGCGAAGGTTTCAACTCCAACGGATGGCACCTTCAATGGTTGACGGGTTTACCGACGTGCCCGGCGCTGGATGGTTTGGTTGTCCTCCTCGTGGACGGTGAAACCTCAGCCTCACCTGACCTGTCAGGTCAGCCGCGTCCGCCCCGAGGATTCCCACGTGCAGGCGACCCTGTCAGTGCAGATCGCGGGTACCAAGCGCTGGCGGCTGATGCCGCTGCGGCGCCGCAGGGCGCCGTTCCTGGCGATGTACCGCGGCGGCAGTGTTAAAGGGGGTTTCCGGTCACGGACCTCGGTGGCGTTTTTTTTTTGTGGGGATGATGCATGTGGAATATCCAATGGATGGAAGATGATGGAACTCTCCGCAGTCCCAGCCACTTTCTGTTGAAAAAGATTCTCAAGCAAGCCATATTGGGTTCCAACCAGTTCTTTCTGGGTTTCAATATGTGTCCATGCATGTCGTCATGAGTCATGACCATGTTTCTGGGGACGGGACGTGTTTGAGTTCGAGCTCCAGGGTTTCACCAAGACTTGGATGAGCTCCATGCCATGCAATCCATGCCAAAGGGGGTCCTTTCTTGAGGGGGAAGGGCAATCCGCGAATGCTAGGGGGAATGCTAGTGGCCAATCCCTTTGGTGTCACATGTCGGCACATCAGGCTGGGCCTATCTCAAACTGAGGGTATATGCTTCCCATGACGCACATATATGTTTACCCGACAATTAAAAAACAGCAACTGATTTAAATGGTCTTTACCATTCTTTGTCATTCTTTCCCAAAGAACCATTATTGTGTACTAAGGATTTTACACTACAACACCAGGTCGACCAATTTTGAATGGTCATTTTCAGGCTGTTTACTGTTAACTGGTTGGCTCTCCGCATTTGGAACATTTTCTTCGACCGTCTCGGTCCGAGGATCTATTCCGATGGGCAGCCGTATGAGAATCCCGAAGGCTGGGGAGTCCGAAGGCCCCACTTCTTCGTGTCGTGTCATACAGGATCGCCATACGATCGGATCTGGGGAGTGGAAGGCGTTTCTATAAAGCTCAATCCATCTCAATCCCTGGACTTTGGGTTGGATTGCTCTATGATATGCAACATATTGCATCCGTTTTTGGATGACACCAATTCCTGAGTGACACCTCTGAACATGGGACTTGGTTTCTGATATGAGACCAAACATATGGAGAAGGTTTTGGAGATGTTGCACATTTTTGCACCAGGTGTTTGAATAGTTGACCATCGATCCCCGTTCGCTGAGTCATGATGCCTGGTTGTGGAGTATTTTACGATGCCTTCTCCACTATCTCCACTATATCCCCACTACAAATCATTGATGCAGTGATACACGTGGGAACAGTTTGTAGAAAAGCAATTGCTGTGACTAGTGGTCACCAATAATTGGGTGCCACTACATAATTCGGTCAACCGGGCCAAAAGCAATACACTCCCTTAGAATTATCATGAAGTGGAGGGCGTGGCCCCTTTCGTTCGGATGACGATAACCATTTTCAATCCGAAGACCAAACCGGAGGTGAACTCCACGAAACCATGACTATTCGTAGGCCCAGCTTTGGTTTCTCTGTGGATCCCCCTCCAACAGTCCCCTCCAGAGGATCCTGTGCGACGTTTATGTAGCCTGGCGAGTATAGTTGGTTCATGCAGTCAGGCCTGGGAGAAACCGTTGTGCATGGCGTGACCCGCCAAACCAATGAAATGAGTGGTCCACCACGTTCTCCAGGGTTGGCCGCCCTGGTCCAACCTTCACCGGTCAAGCGGCTTCTGGGGATCTATGACTACATTTTCCATCATCCAAGTTGCACCTTGCGCGGCCAAATGCGCCGCGTTGCTTCAAGCCACGTGCGCCCCTTCCATCCAACCATTCCGTGGCACACGGTCGGTCGCAGGTTGGGCACCGCTCTTCGATATCACTCTGCAACCAGGGGATGGCCTCTTCTTCCCACCTGGCATGGTCTGGATCCCTGGACTCTGCGGACGGATTTGGCCGGGTTTTGAGGTCGGACTCACTGGTGACCGGCACATATTCTGGAGCTTGTGATCTTCTTCCGTGCTGGTAACAAAGGCATTGCTACGTATAGTAGCAAAGACGCTACTAGCTAGGACCTAGGACATCGGTGCTAGTAACAAGTGCATCGCTACTAGTAGCAAGGACGCTTTTCTTTTCTATATAGACTAGAATCAGAGGATCTTCCTATACCCCTGCGGATCCAAGTACCTTCTCAGGAGGTACGACTGGACCCTCCAAACCTACGTAACAGGGTCTCCAATCACCTAGTAGTAGTAAGAATACTCCTAGTAGCGATCCCAGGAGCCCCGAACGTAGCGTCCTTGCTCCTAGTAGTAAGGCCAGGAGCCCCGAACGTAGCTTCTTGTTCCTATTTCTTCACCACGCCACGTGGCGTTTTGGAGGAGACCGTCTCAACCTCAGAAGGTTCCGCCACGTCACCGGTCAGTTCACACCGGATTCGACGTCAGTGGGTCGTTCGGTCGAAGAGGTTCATGAGACGAAGAACGTGGGCGACCTGTGCACCTCTTCGGTGACCTTTCAGTTCAACCAGCCGTGACTTTGCCCGAGAAAGAGACACGGACAAAGGGGAAGAAAGAACCGGCCACATTACAGAGTCTTATACATAGTACTGTAAGTATTCAGTATTTAGTATTAAGTTGAAGTAGGATGGATCACGAATCAGAAGATTCTCTTGGTTTGGGAATCATCCTGCTTTGGGAGTTGTTTGGAAGTTAAATCACAAAATAACATTTGAGCTTGCACATATTGGTCAAATATGGTCAAATCACTGTGAAGAGCTACTTAGGGAAGACAAATGAGCTTGAGCAGAATCTACCAACCCAAGAACTGAGGGATGGAAGCCTCTTCTGCACGAGAGAGTGACCATGGCCAATAGCAACATCTGATTGATGATCTCAATATCTTCAAACAAAGAATCAGCACCGACCTGCTTGGTGATGGCTCAGGTACGCTGCGCGCTTTTATAGGACCTGCCTGGCTTCGGGGCTTGCTTGTCCCGCAACACCAACGCAACCGACCAAAAACGCCCACCATCCTTCACACCTTTCACCATCTTTCACCATCTGACTGACAGCCGCTTCACCATCTGAGCAATAGCCAAAACCTCCGTTGACAGTCATATCAATCTGCGGTGTAAGGAAAACATGGTCTTGCCAAGGTTGCATAAGCTCCATGTTGAACACACGGCTCGTGCAAGGGCTCGCGCAACGGCTCCGCGCGGCTCGCAGGAGTTTCTTCCCTCGGATCCGCTTCACCGCGGACATTGGTGAGTCCTGGGCTGCTCGGAGGAGTGCAGCTTCGTCGTTGTCGGTGCGGTCGGTGCGGTCGGTGCAGGGGTGAGGGTGAAGCAGACCAGCCATCTGACAAGCCAGGCATTTCTGTAATTTCTGTATACGGAATCATACTCGTAGTGATCTAATCATTGCCATCAAGAGAGTAAGAATAGCAGTTCCATCTCCCATACCCTGAGCATCGGCTATTCATTCAAATCAATAATCTTGGAAGTGTTTGAATTGATATTGATATTGATTTGAAATATTGATTTTTTCAATAATCACAAAAACAATAGAACATAGATTGATTTTTGCAATTGATTTCCTAATTGATTTTTTTTGCTCAAGTGGGGTAGAGCTATGTGCAGACATCCCTTTTGACAAAAAGGGGATGTCACAAAAGGACAAGGAAGAGAAAGAAGAAAAGGAAAAGTAAGAGGAAAAGGACAAGGACAAAAGGACAAGAAACAAGGAAAAGAGAAAGGAAGAGGAAAAGGAAAAAGAACAGGAAAAGGACACAGAAAAGGAAAAGGAAGATGAAAAGGAAGGTGAAAAGGAAAAGGAACAGGCAGGAAAAGGAAGAGGAAACGGACAAAAGAACAGGAAAAGGAAACAGAAAAGGAAGAGGAACAGGAAAAGGAAAAGGAAGAGAAAGAGGCAAAGGAAAGGGAAGAGGAACAGGAAAGGGAACAAAAAGAACGAAAAACGGGAAAGGAAAAGGAAGAGGAAAAGGAAAAGAAAAGAGTAACAGGAAGAGGAAGAGAAAAGTAAAAAAAGGAAAAATAAAAGGAAAAGGAAGAGGAAACAGAACAGGAAAAGGAAGGGAAAAAGGAAAAGGAAACTGATGATTTTTTGGTGAAGGACAGTAAGGACACAAAATCTAATGACTAAAACAGTGGACAATTCTTGTTGGGGTGATGGAAATTAAGGAAGCAACTTCTGATGACTAAAGCTATGGATAAATTTTTTTGGTGAGGAGAGTTGAGGAACAAAATCTAATGACTAAAACTGTGGCCAAAACTTTTTGGGGTGAAGGAAAGTAAGGAAACAACATCTAATGACTAAAACTGTGGACAAAACTTTTTGGTGAAGAGAGTTGAGGAAACAAAATCTAATTACACAAACTGTGGGCAAATTTTTTGGGTGAGAGAGGAAGGAAACACAACTGACGACTAAAACTGTGGCCAAAACTTTTGAATTCAGCAAATTAAGGTTTTACACAAAAGAATATCCCGGCAGGAGACCCCAAACAGTGTGTGTGAGGTCTGTAAGCAAAAAGTCTAGAGATCTAGACGCATTGGGGTCCAGAGAGGTGATGGTGGTGATGAAGGTGGGGATCGTGGTGACGGTGGCGGTGGTGGTGAGTGAGTGAGTGTGAGTGTGAGCGTGAGTGAGGGTGTGAGTGAGTGTGGGTGAGAGGGAGTGTGAGTGTGGGTGAGAGTGAGAGTGAGAGAGTGAGTGTGAGTGGCAGTGTGAGTGAGAGAGTGTGGGTGAGGGTGAGAGTGAGGTGAGAGTGAGTGTGAGTGTGAATGTAAGTGAGCGTGAGTGAGAGTGAAGGTGGGTGTGAGTGAGTGTGAGTGAGAGTGGGAGAGTGAGTGTGAGTGCGAGTGTGAGTGAGAGTGAGTGTGGGTGAGAGTGAGAGTGGGAGAGTGAGTGTGAGTGTGTGTGTAAGTGAGCGTGAGTGAGAGTGAGTGTGAGTGAGTGCGAGTGTGAGTGAGAGTGTGGGTGAGAGTAAGTGTGCGTGAGAGTGAGGGTGTGAGGGAGTATGCGTGTGAGTGAAAGTGGGAGAGTGAGAGTGTGAGGGAGTGTGAGTGTGAGTGAGAGTGGGAGACTGAGTGAGTGCGAGTGTGAGTGAGAGTGAGTGTGAGTGAGAGTGAGTAAGGGTGAGAGTGAGTGTGAGTGAGAGTGAGAGTGTGTGTGTGTGAGTGAGACTGAAGGTGAGTGAGAGTGTGAGAGAGTGAGCATCTGAGAGCACAAAGCACTGCACCTGCCACGAAACCTGCACTTCGAGGTCGAGGTTCACCAAGTGCTGTGCCTGCCACAAAATCTGCACATCGAGGGTCACAGAATGCTGTGCCTGTTACGAAATCTGCACTTCGAGGTTCACCAAGTGGACCCGAAAAAACCATGTTCACCTCGTTCCCATCGACGCCGGTCCCAAAACAATGCCCCGCAAGAGCTTCGTACAAGAGTGACCCACAAGAGTGTCCTACAAGAGTGTCCCGCAAGAGTGTCCTACAAGAGTGTCCCACAAGAGTGTCCTACAAGAGTGTCATTTGGACATATGTAGTTTTTCGAACGGTGTTTGCTTTCGGGTTCTTGGGTTCCATCTTGTCTTTTTATTTTTTATTTTGTTTTTTCCTTTTTCCTCTTCCTCTTCCTTTTCCTCTTTCCCGTTTTCCTTTTCCTTGTCCTCTTCCTTTTCCTTTTTTTCCTATTCCTTTTCCTGTTCATATTCCTTTTCCTTTTCCTCTGCCTCTTCCTTTTCCTGTTCCTTTTCCTCTTCCTTTTTTCCTTTTCCTTGTCTCTTTTTCTCTTCCTTGTCCTTTTCCTCTTTCCTTTCTTTATCCTTTTCCTTGTCCTCTTCCTTTTCCTTTTTTCCTTTTCCTGTGCATCTTCCTTTTCCTTTTTCTCTGTCTCTTCCTTTTCCTGTTCCTTTTCCTCTTCCTTTGTTCCTTGTCTCTTTTCCTCTCCCTCTTCCTTTTCCTTTTCCTCTTCTTTGCTTTTCCTTTTCTTTTTCCTTTTCCTTTATTCCTTTTGCCTTTTCCCTTTTTTCCTTTTCCTTCTTCTTTTCCTTTTCCTCTTCCTTTTCCTTGTCCTCTTCCTTATCCTCTTCCTCTTCCTTTTGCATGGGCTTCAATTACCCTTTCAGCAAGGGTTTTTTCAGCAAGGGGTTGAAATCCTTCTTCGCAGGTTTTTTTTGTGTGAGCTTGTGGCTTAAGGTGTAGCTGTGGCCAGCCAAGGCCCCAAAGGTGATGAAAATAATGAAAAAAGTCTTGCCAAAAGGGAAGCCGAAGGGCAATTCGTGAACAAATAAGATGAAATTAGCCTATTTGCTGCCGATGTTTGAGCATTGCGAGGCGATCCCCCGTTCGGTACGACAGTCGACCAGTCGATGCGCGCACACACAGGTTAAACGGTGAGTTCACCAGCGTTTAGCTCCGTCACGCGCAGACCACAAGTCGTGCCGGCGGCAGGCCTGGCCCCATTGGCCATGCCATTAAGGCGACGGCCATGCCATTAAGGCGGGAGATTCCGTGGACAAGGCTGCTGCATTGGCCACACTGCTTAGCGCAGTATTCCGAACTAAACAAAACAGCTTGCCAATTGCTCTGGTGTCTCAGAGTTTCATCGATGATTGTTTACTCTGTTCTTCCATTGTTCCTCCATGTAAACAACCCATGTTCCTTGACAGGGACGCCTCACGTACAGTCCCGGTGCAATCGCTCACATGCAGCGACTTCAAGGCGGATGTGTGCGTGGCAACAGGTGCGGGCCTCTTCAACTACCTCCGCAGCCACTCCCGGCCCTCGTTCAAACAAAAGCATAAAAGCAAGCTTGCTGAAGGAAAGAAATTTGAACAAACAGGGGAAACTCAGCTTGGCAAAGAAGGTGCAAAAGGCATCAGGAGATGCAGCCAACCAAGAGGAGGCAGCCTCAACCTTGAAGCCAACTGCTGGAAAATGGGGCCCTGGCTATGCTTCTGCTGGCTGTTTTCTGAATTGATTTTTATCATGCAAAATAGACGTTTTGAAATGATTTTGAAGGTCAACCTGAATATGATTTTCATGTTGCGGAATAAATCAAAAATATACGATTTAAAATCAATATCAACAAGTTTTGGAAAATTGATTAGAATCAATAGCCGATGCTCAGGGTAGATTTGTTCACTGGCACCAGCTGAACGGCGGAGTGTCCGGAAAACGTTCGTAGCCATGCTGCTGGGTTTGCCCCGAAGTTCAGCCACCGTTTCTGCAGCATAGCATAGCATGGCCCTCCGGGGCTTAAAACAACACATTGGTCTACAGGTGACCACCTTTCGGCAAAACCCGCATCACCTCCGGGCCGATGGCTGTTCAACGTTTTGGCTGCTCAACGTGACGTTCACCGTTTTGAGGCTCTGATCCGCGAATGGGCTCGGCTGGGAATGTCTGGAGATGAAAAAGGCAAAGGTGACAGCTATGAGAAAGCCAGGCACGGCGATGGGCTTCGAGATCAGACGGGAGTTCCTGGCATTATAGGGCGTTGGAAAGTGTCAACGGAAAGGGTCAAAAGCCTTGAAAGAGAACGGATACATATTGCCCGTGAGATGTGGAGCTCTTGAGATGATCCCTTTTCACTTGGAGTATCTTGGCGTTCTGTCATTCTCAGCAGCTTGCACAAATCTTGCACAATTATTCCCCCCCTGTCAGGCGAGGGTTGTTAGATTTTATGTCGGCCCCATCTCCTTCCTTCGTCTCCTTCTCCTTCTCCTCCTCGTCCTCCTCCGCCGGACCTCAACCACGACCATCCACGCCCAGTGTTCCCTGCCGGACCTCAACCGCGACCATCCACGCCCAGCGTTCCCTGCCGGACCTCAACCACGACCATCCACGCCCAGTGTTCCCTGCCGGACCTCAACCACACACACAACCACAAACGCGCAACCACAAACACACATTCGCAAACGCAACCACAAACACAATCACAAACGCAGCCACAAACACAACCACAAACACACAACCACAAACACACAACCACTAACACAACCACAAACACACAACCACAAACGCACAACCACAAACGCAACCACAAACACACAATCACAAACGCAACCACCAACACAATCACAAACGCAACCACAAACACACAACCACAAACACACAACCGCAAGGACACAACCACAAACACACCAACACACAACCACAAACACACAATCACAAACACAACCACAAACACAACCACAAACACCATCCCAAACACACAACCACAAACACAACCACAGCCACAATCACAAACACGCAATGACAAGCACCCAACCACAAACACAACCACAGCCACAACGACAAAGACACAACCGCACACACAATCACAAACACAACCACAAACACAACAACAAACACACAACCACAAACGCAACCACAAAAACGCAACAACAAACACACAACCACAAACACAACCACAAACACACAACCACAAGCACACAACCACAAACACACAACCACACACAACCACAAACACACAATCACAACACAACCACAACGCACAACCGGAGGACCCAAGCAAAATCGAGAACCACAAAACTCACCATAGTGTGGGAGCAATCAGTTCGAAGATATGCCAGGGTGACTGGGGTCGGATGCATTCCATATCTGTTGGCGCAGCTGTTTGCAAAGAGACTTGAGACAGGCAACATCCTACAGCAAGTATAGTACATATTACTACTCCTACTACTACTACTATTACTACTACTACTTCTGCTACTACTACTACTACTACTACTACTACTATTCGGGCCCCGGAAGCTTCCAAGTTTCGGGCCCCAAAGCTCGGGCCCCGAACTGTGCACTACTGTTGCTACTACTACTACTACTACTACTACTAGTACTACTACTACCACTACCACTACTACTACTACCACCACTACTACTACTACTCTTCTTCTACTGCTCGGGCCCCGGACGTTTCCAAGGTTCGGGCCCCGAAGGTCGGGCCCCGAACTGTGCACTACTATTGCTTCTACCACCGCATTACTACTACTACTACTGCTACTACTACTACTACTACCACCACTACCACCACTACCACCACTACCACCACTACCACTACTACTACCACTACCACTACCACTACCACTACCACTACCACTACCACTACCAC